GAAACTGAATCTGAGCTATTAATTTAAATAATACGTACGATATTAATTTTTTACAACAGACAATGCACGAAAATATACTAAATGCGCGACATAATCAACAGTTAAACTAAATTTGAAGTCGTTAGCGAGTCGATGCTACTACATTTTGACGAAACGACAGATTACTCGAATACGTAGATGCGGCTTGACCTCCGAACCCTAGAGGTCCGGTCGATTATGTCAGCCGTGTGGCATGAACTCCAGTGACGCCGTTAGTTAAACTACATTGACTACATTGTGTACCCTCATTTCTCAATTCGTTGATGCAATCCTATATAGAGGCTCGTTATACCACCGAGAACTTCAATCGTGCGACTGTCTGCGAGGATACCAGTTGCAGAGAATAAATCTCGAAAAATTAGAATCTTCGTGAAGAAACGCAATGTGTAATACATATATCTTGTTATGTGGCATTATAATAGTTTTATTAAAAATTTTTGTTGAATATGGAATTTTTCTATATAAATTTCAATATATTCAATTTAGTATTCTATATATTATAAATTATGCAATTAAGTAGATTTAATGACATAAATGAGAGTACTTAAAAATGTCTACATTAAAGAGAAATAGATGTGCGATAAAGCGCAATTAAAAGATTGAATTATACTTTACACTGCGTATATTTTATTATCGTAATTATTAGCTCTCTCTCTCTCTCTCTCTCTCTCTCTCTCTCTCTCTCTCTCTCTCTCTCTCTCCCTCCCTCCCTCCCTCCCTCCCTCCCTCCACACCTCTTTCTCTTTTAAAAGAAAATATTAATATTAATATTGATCTTTCTAAACAAAAAATTCTTTAACATCACAAAAACCTGTATGTACATTTACTCTGATCGCCTGTAAATCTTAAAACACAATAATAAAACAATTATTAAGCTTATAATCGACCATAACTGGCAATGTGTTTTTCAACACACAAAATTTATTGCGAAAAATATTACCTCAACCAGGGTTTGAATCTACACCTTCCTTCACTCTAGGCGGGCGTCTCAACCAATTCGACCACCGAGGCATATGATAATATTTGTCGCAATAACAGTATAGATGTTGTCTACGCGTACGTTTTCGATTTTTGTGAACTGCGCACCAATACGGATTGTCGGTTGAACACAGCTCTATCGAAATCGCAATAATAAAATATGAGGAATCAATCTCGATAAAGAATCTCTTAGGTTCGGTTCATTGTATCGTCAAATCATCGCCAATGTGTCAGTCCCGACGACAGGAGGCGATTCGTATCTTTTTTTCATTTTACAGGAAAGCGATACGGGAAGACCAATTCTCACGAGTGCTCGGTTCCACGTGGGACTCACCTGTGCACGAATGTCCTTCATCTTGATACACGGGTTATCGCAGCAACGTCGAGTTGCGGCGAATCCTGAACTTGTTCGCTGAACAAGAAGCAGAGTGAGGCCGGAACACGTCCGCGGCCGAGTACTCGCACCAAATGACTAGGTGAGCCCGCGGATATAATGCAAAGTCCGAGCCGAGCCGGCGACTCAGGCTTGTGCGAAGCGGGCGAGGCGAGATCGTTGGCGTCGTCTCATCGGGGTCCCGACGAAGGAACGCTCGTATCTTTCATTTTCCAAAGAGTTTATCACCTGACGAAAGTTAAGGGACCCTCGAAACAGGGCGATTGGCGTTACGGACTTCTCTCACGCATTTACTCGTGAATCGTGCGTCATTGAGATAACTGTATCTTCCTCGCGAAGATATTGGTACGCCCGCGCAGCAAGACAATCGCGTGCTATAAAGCGAAATAAATTACGTTAACTTTCGAGTTAATTATTCGTCATGCACACATCATTTTTACACTGATACATTCATGAAACAAATCCACGTTAATCTTAGTGTGACTTCCGAACTGTAGATATTGTAAAGATATTGCGGGAAAAAAGGAACGTTCGTTTAATTCTTTTTCTCAATCGTCTTATTTATCAATACTCTATAAGTACATTCGATACGTCTTTTACGCGTTTTTTTGGTTTACGTTAAGAATAGAATAGAATTTAGTTTCTAAATCGTTATTACTGCAAATATTCATTGTAAATAAATTTATTTTACGGAACAAGATAATGTGTCTGTTGTTATAAAAATTCAATTCATGCACACTTACACAAACAATTCTTATACCTGAAAGAGTTGTAGCAAAATTTATTACTTTGTTGAAGAAGAAACGATGTGGCACAATTATGCAATAAATTATTAAGTTAAGATAATTAATGCTTAAAGCGACAATGCTGCTATCAGTCTTTTATCCGTGCTGTAAGTGATGCATATATACATATATAATAGACATAGACATATATAGATTTTTGTATATAATAAATACTGAGCACTTTCCGCGAATACGATTATAAAGAAGCGATTTCCATGGTAAAATCCAGGTAATGAACGCAGTGTTGACTACACGGCTCTTTGCGTATTTCGCAAGCTTCTGCTTGTAAGTCCAGTTCAGTTTCAGCACGACGTCCTCTTCCCTCACGGTCAGTCGGACACTCGGCCATTCGTAATGAACGTCCGGGAAGTAAAGTTTTGAGAGTCGATTTTTTACAGGCTGCCTCAAAATCAACGCGCAGTTAAAAACGCATTTCTTTAGAGATGAGCGAGAGAGAAGTACATCAGCGTTACGGAATAAATAAACGTGCTTTGTAGCTTTTGATTATATTTTCTGCTTTATGTCGTCACATGCTGAAATTTACTTAATTTAACTGAGTTAATTAGAGAGGGGGGAATTCCCTATTATGAGATAGGTTCTTTTATATATAAAGTATATAGTGTACATATAATATTGCACCATGTTTTTAATATAATCTACTGCGATA